GGCACATAGTGAATTGGCAAAGACAATCTCTCACCAAGCATTTGATTAGATGCTTCCTCTCTTCCATTGTTTCTTATCTCTTCAAACATGTCTGGTTGGGTTCCTTGTCAGTAAGAATTGTTTAGCTTTGTCCCTTTCTGTCTACTTTTTCTTCATGCTTGGCTTGTTACTTCTCTTTCTCTCTAAACCTAGAGTTTGGGTTGGTAAGTCAATAAAGCAAGTCTGGCATAGCCTAAAAAAATAATTTCAAGCTTGAGAAGGGCCTGAGACAGTTCAGGCTAGTCCAAGCCCGGTCCATTAGCACCCCTAGTTGGATTTATACATACTTGACGCAAACACAACCCAAATACCCCTAATAAAAAGAGTACAATAAACGAAATAAATCACCCCTTAATCTATACAACACCAAAACACATAAATATCCTAAGATAATTAACTAGTCCATGGGAAGGCCACGATGGCCTCATTACTTGCTATTGGTTATGAAGCCTATATATTTTCGTGGGACAATTCCCTAAGGGCACGACCATAGTTACCCGAAGCGATTCAAAAACCAAATTGATTTAAGAATCGGAAGCACATAATCGCCGCTGGCAGGATGATTCCTGTTTTTGAAATCGACATCCGTACAAGAGGAATCGTGGGGGATGAGATTCCTATTTTAATAATTGAGATTCGACCAAAATAGAATCGAGATTCCTACTCAATTCCAAAGAGCTAGGAATTGAAATTCCTACCTAGTTGGAATCGACCAATTTGAATCGAGATTCCTTCATCTATGGAATTGAAATTCCGACATCTTTGGAATCGAGAGGTAATTGAGAGGGAATCAATAGATGTCTCAATGTCATTAATTGACCGACATGCTATTCATGCATGTTTACATTATTTGTATTACATTCTTTCTGGCATCTTGGAGTTGCAATCTCTCCATTGGATCAATACACTGCATACTTAAACAATTAAGTATAAAACGTGGACTGTCAATTTGGTTTCTATTGGTCATTTTAGATCAGAAAAAGATGACTACACCTTGTAGCTTGAACTTGTGTGAGTAATTTAATGCCTTGAAAACTTCTAAACATCACTTCTCAGAAAGACGAAAAAAAAAAAAAAATCTGATAAATGTGGACACCAGCAGAATTGTGGTAAATGTAGAAACCAGTTTCAACAAGTGTAGAATCAAGATTCACCAATTGCGGAATCAAGAATAAATAAATATTGAAAACGAGATTTTATAAAGTGAAGTCAAGATTCCTAAAATAAGTAAACGAGATTCCAGACTGAGAGAATTTTCCTTCTTTTACTCCTAATAGAGTTCTTCCAAATTCTAGGGTTTCTTTGGATATCAAAACTCATGTAGAAAGAATTTTAGCAAGAATCACCACCTGGCAACTTGCTATATTCCAGAACTTGGCTTCTACACAAAATAAAGAAACTATTCTCGGTTTGTTGCTTTCCCTTGAAATAAGGTAGTTCACTAAAAACATAAAGTGTGTTAATGCTGATCTTCAAGAGTCTGAGCATCTTGTTCAGTCAGAATTTGGTTATGATATATCTACACTGACATTAAAATCACCCGTTGGGAAAAAAGGAATAACTATACTCCCTTTCAAATATCATAAAGTTCTCTTTGTTGTTTATAAGTGGGGTCATCTTGGAGACTTCACGTACTAGAAACATAGTTTATTCACATCATTGATGATACGAGACGAATCAAACCTCAAATAGTAAAGAGCACCAACAATACATTATACCGGGTGATATTCTGAAGTGAGTCACCCTCATCATTATCGAGCTCCAAATTAATTTATGTTGGGGTCTCCATTAGATTGAAGTCTAACATCTTTATTTGTTAGAAGTTTGAAGGCTTCTTTCAATTGACTTAGTTCCTTCCCATGTAATGCCAACTTCTATACCAAAAGAACACTAAATCCTATGTAACAATTGAGAAGCAGAGGAATCATTATAATGACAAATAAAATAAGTATATAATGACTATTTACTTTTGGTACAAGGGGGTCATAAGCACTCATGCCCCTCAGACTTCAAATCAGATGGTTGTAACAATGTCATTGACTAGATTCTTAAGTTCAAAAAAAATTTTATCCAACTTTGTGTACCCCAAGCCATCCAATTTAATATCTAATGGCTAGGAATAACTGTGACCTCCTTGTAACAAAGATAAATGGTCTTCTAGTATACAATCCCATAAAAAAAAAAGAATGTTTCACTTAACTGCTCAATTAGTGAATAAAGAAATCAAAGCTTTGTAAATAAACTTCGGGAAAGTCCATTTCCTACTATTTTATGAAGTAAAGAGAACAAAATTTGTCCTGATTTGTGATTTCATACTTTGAAAGGTGAAAATCAATTGATGCGAGCACATGCAACCCATTAAGAACTTTTGTTTTAGCTATATGCTCCCCCATACAAAGGTTCTTGAAAACAAACCCATGGGAGAAATTTATTTTTCAATCACTATTGAGCAGCCTCACAAAAAGTGAATTCCTTACTAGAGTAATGAAAGCATTTGGAAACCCATGGATGAAGGAAACCCAAGAGAACCACTATAAGGGATTAGGCAAAGATCTCCTATCACATATAAGCACCGTAATAAAATATTGCTACCAATTAACATATTTTAGATTAAAGACAGGTCCACTTTCACATGATTGCTATCACCAACTTGGAGTTTCCATGTATATTCTACTTGAAGTTGAATATCCAAGAAAAACAATAACATAATACTTTTTTAATTGGATCAGTAACTCAATGACCTAATGTTGTTGTGTGATCGAGGCATGTCAGGTTGAGCCTATCGTAGCACTTAAGAACAGAATGACCTAGTTTCCTAGAGCATTGACACACAATATTTGCAAAGTAAAGGTCATACTGACAAAGTATATTTGGAGGACTTCAAGAAACCAAATTGATTAACAGATTGAGTTTGAGATAGCCAAAGCTAGAAATGGAATGAAGTACTAGAAATGCCAAGCACATAACTTGTATAAATAAATTTCGGCTCATCCAAGTAAGGCATTATATGGGCAGCAGTGTATCTTTGCTAATAAGATCATTCACTAAGAAGTACTAGAAATGCCAAGAACATAACCTGTATAAATAAATTTCAGCTCATCAAAGCAAGGCATTATATGACCAGCAGTGTATCTTTGCTAATGAGATCATTCACTTTGCCAAAAGTTGCGGGATCATCAAAGATGGACTTTAATTTGAAGATATAATTTTGGACTAAAGAATTACCCTGTTTGCAATGCTAAAGGTGTGGCTTATATTGGAGTTCCATCAATTTCTTAAGGAGCTTTTGTGATTGCATCACTAATGGAACTGAATTTTAATGAAATAAAAGGATTTGATCAATTTCAATATGAGAATTTGTGGATTCAGCTCTTTGTTAAAAAATCATAAGTTAAAAAAGTCACAAAAAGAAGAAAGGTTCAAGAAGAAAGACGAGTATTACAAGAAAAAGAGAACATAATTAAGAAGAAACAAAGAAATGCATAGAACTAGAGTTAGTCAAATTATCATGCTCCCCATTCATTATGTGTTTGTTGCTCCATTCTATTGTTCCGTCACAATAATGCTCTATTTGGTGCTTCTTTTCATGTACAAACTTTTGTAAGATTGTCTGGGAAAAACAATATAAAGAATGTCATGCAAGAGAAAAACTTGTGTATTGGATCAAAATAGAAGAGTCAAAAAGATAAAACAAGAGGAAGTGTGTCTTGGACGGGACAAGAATAAGGGAGATTGAGAAACAGAGAGGAAGAAGATTCGAGAGATTTACAAGTGACTTTACACAAGGTCCAAGAATTGATATCTTCCTAAATTATCTAAGAAGGAAAGGTCTAGAAACTTTTTAATACGATTAGGTGAAGTGTTAGTTGAGATATCCACGATTGCTTTTGGACAACTTGAAGAGACAATTATTTTGTTTTTGGAATCACTAGAGTTGGATTCAGCCCTTAGAATATCTTGATAAAGATTTAGCCGTTGCAAGGTTTTCTCATTATGTACGAGATTTGGGATTTATGAACAAGATAATCATACAATTGGATAGTGGCAAAGGTTGTGGAACTGGGCTTATGTAGTAGTTTTCTTTCAACTCAGAAGTCATCATGTTCACCCAATCTAAATGACCCTAAGATACACCAGGGGGAGGTCAAAGCTCATTGACAGCAGGGAGGTAAGTCTAAGGCTGGGAATTTACCCGGACCAGACCCGAGACCCCAACTACCCAAACCGGTCCGGGTCCAGGTATGGGTCAAAGATTTGGACCCGGCAGGTCGGGTCCCGGTCCAAATCCCCAAATAGTAAATTGGGTCGGGTAGGGTCCGGGTCCAGGTGACCCACCCCAAACCCAACCTGGTTATTTTAAAATATTATTATAATATTTTTAAACATAAATTTATAAAGGTTAGTATAGTAATGTATACATACTCTTTTATCTCTATAAAAAATAATAATCTTGCCCCATTGAAGGCGAAGCTTTAGAAGATCATAATGGTCAATAAGATGTGATACATTATAAGGAAAACCAACTTGGAAAGAGAAGTAGAATGGTAAGAAGACGATGTCACTTTTATAGCGAATAATGCTTGTAAGCCCCTGCATCGGCATCAGATATGCATTTACTTCTCACAGGAAATGAGCTCTTCTTCTTATTCTCAATCCTTCTTTGTTTTTTTTTAGCTTGTTGGTTAACTTTGGTTGCGGTTGAATGAACATTCAAATTCAATAAAACAGAGAGGAAAAGATGAGAAAGATATAAGTTTAGTGTTAATATGCTATGACCTGATTTCTCATGAATGATTATAGAGTAAAACCTCATCCATTCAGAGAAAAAGAGAGGCATATCTGTGAATGAAATTAAGAAGTTGAACTAGGATCGCATACAAAGCCTATCTTCCAGAAAGAGCAACTGAAGAAGAATATGAAATAATTCAAAAAGGAAGGGAAGAGAGAGAAGGGGATGGAACCTTGGATAGGATGCATTTTCTCAAAGAATCCAATAGAGAGGCGCATCTATCTTGTTCGTATTGAGGAGACGCCACGCAGTTGAGGAGCTCCACAGCCTCAATCCCACACACAGGCTGCGGAGGCTGCTGCGGGCTATTTGCGGCTTCGGACATATCTGCCGGCTTCGCGTGTTGTGTGTGTTTATATTAAAGTTCCACCAGAGCGATGGATGGACGCAAAAGGAAGAGGAAAGTTTTTCAGGCGCTGCAATCCAAAAGGTCGGGGTTTTTTTGCAGCGGCAAAAATGAAACGGTGGCGGTTCGGAACTCTCCCGCGCCGTATTTTTTTTTATTTCTTTTTGGAAAAACTACTTAAAACTCTTAAAACATGGACTTTCGAGGACTTTAACCGATTCTAACTTTTTCTAACATATTTTTCGTCAAAAGTAGATAAAACGCATCCATTTAAAAAAAAATAAAAATTAAATTAAATTACCTTTCTTTTTATATTTTATCCGAAAACAATTTCTCTAACACGATTTTTTTTACGCTAAACCCATTTTTTTTTCCCTCACGATATTTCCCTTTTCCTCTCCACAAATTTTCCCATTTCCCTCTCTACGAAGCTCATGATTTTTCTATTCGTGTCTCCACTAAGCTCACGATTTTTCCTCTCTCTCTACCAGAGATCACGACTTTTCCTTTTCTCTCTCTATTGGGGCAAAACACGAATCCGTTTCTCTCTCTATCAGGGCACAAGAGTGTATATTCTCTCTAGTTGGGCACAATACGAAGGTCGTTTCTCATTCTTGTGAGGTGAGCTCTTGTCTCCCTCTCGTTCTACCAAGGCCCCACTCACTATCACTATCTCTAATGTTCTACTTTTTTATTCTTCCTCTCTCTCTCTACCAAGGCCAACCCACTCTCTCTACTAAGGCCGAATCTCAGCTTTTCTCTAAATCTCTTTTTCTCCCAAAATCCCACAAAGCACCCTCTCTCTTTACAATCGAAGGTCCCACAACTCTGTCATTATCTCTACGAATGTCTCACAGAGCACTGCTCTCTTGAAATGAGCCCCATCAAAAGCCGAGCTCGATTTTCTGAGCCCCAGGTATGAAAGAGTATTTCAATATAATATTAAGAAACATTTTTTATCTAATATTTATTATGTAACTTCAACTTTGGGGGTAAAGCTTGCCATGTGAAAACATTTTCCTTAATCATTTGATGTGAAAATATGAATCAGAAGCATGTTGATTTTTTTAAAATTTATGTTTTTTCTTATCAAAATGTAGATCAGGACCTTTCCCTAAAATCTATTGTTGGGTTTTTATTTGGTGAAATTGGTTGTATTTAATTTGTCATTGACAATTGAAGGAATGGATTGCTCATAGCTTAAGATGTATTGATTTTTTTTTCTTAAATTGTTATGGATGTTGTCATTTTCTCTCTTTGGTCATTTTAAGGTATGAATGTTGTTGGTGGTAATAATTTTTTGGTTATTTTTACTGTCTTATGTTGATCTTGTAGATGATGATCCATCATCTTTCTTTTGTTAAAATTTAGTAGCAATTCTTGTTACAAAAATCTTTCTTAAAATTTGTGTAGCTCTTGTTAAAATATAATTTGTCATTAAAAAATAATAAGCCTAGCTCTTTTTAAATTTTAGTAGTAGCTTTTTTATTTAGAAAATCTAACTTGAGCCTATCAAACTTGGGCAAGTTCAAGGCCAATATTTAAGACGTTGTAGATGCAATGTATGGAGTAAGTTATTACAAATGTTGTGCAGGACAAAAGAAAATGGGTGATAGCATATTGATTTATTGCATTTTTAGTAGAGAACTTCGAACAAGTGTCGATGGAACTTTAGATTATATTGGTGGTGATGCATTTACCTTTTTCACTGATTGTAGAACTAGGTTAGATGACATACGAAAATACATAGCAGAATATTTCTCACTTGACTTACACATGATATCACTGAGGTATTCCATAGCTATCATGTCAGTTACCTTGATCAACTTGTTTGGGTATAGTTTACGTGGACAACTTCCTTCAAATGAAGTAAGAGTGCTTCCACCTTACTCAAGGCGCCCCCTGACCGACTTCATCCGAGCACATAGAATGGGCCATCCACTTCATCCGAGCACATAGAAAATATACGATGGGCCATCCACTTCATCCGAGCACATAGAAAATATACGATGGTCTATTTACTTTAATTCGTGATTTATATTAATTAGGTTATTCTTATATTATTAATAGCTATTGTCATTTCTTATTGAACTTCATTTTAGAAAAAAAAAAATTGTATTAATGAATCAACTAAGAGAATCATTTCTTATTTACTACAGGTAATCTTCACTATTCTTTTAGTTAATATTTAGATATTTACCATTTCTTTGGCTTCAAACTAATTGCTTTCAGCTATTTTTTGGGTAGTATTGTGTCTATGAGCATTTTCCAACTCTAGGCACCAAGCCTACAACTATCACCATATAAATGGCTAGAGCTTGCAAGTAGAAGAAACAACCATGCTGCAAAGACTCATTAACAGCGTTTAATGACATCTCAATTGACATGATTAGTGATTTGCTTGTGTGATTATGTAATTATAGGTAATCTATCAAATGCAAATACAATATGGTTGGTGGTTTGCTTGTGTGCTTATATAATTATAAGTAATACATCTAAGGCAACTACAAATAAGTGATTATTGTGTTATGTTTTTGTTGTAGGTGACTTGTAAACCATATGCGGAGTACAACACATTAGATATATTCAGTAAAGAAAACGCGTTGTGTCGATAATATATGATAAGTTTCTATATTGCAAAGTATTATATGCATAATCGTGTGCTGCGGTGATTTAGAAAAATGCAAGTGATTCCTATTGGGCCACCCAAGTGGGATAGGAGGGAGAAGGTCGGTATACACCCCACAAGGTGGATTGATGAGTTGAGTAGCGAGATAAGTGACTGGCGGCAATGAGAACACAATGTTGTCAAGGCAGCGGTAGATAAATATGATGAAATGCCTACAAAAGATTATATGTCTTGGTACAACATGTTCACCCATAGATATAGTAATACTCACATGTGCCCCCCTCGCAGTCGTCATCAAATGTACCTCCCTTCGCAAGCCATGACGATGAGAGGAAATTGATATATTATTTAATTTATATTTTTAAATTTTTATTTACGTAATATGTATTCAAAGTAATTATCTATTTTTTGTTTTTTATTGTCTACTTGCAACGATTAACCTGTATAGAGATGCTACAAGCTACACTTAGTGGTGAAGTTTTAGCAGAGGAATTCAAATGTTATGTACATGTGACCCATGATTTACTATTGCAGAATACTCCTATAGAGACAGATACCGAGGAGATGGTGGAGGGAGATGGTAGAAGCGAGAACGAGGAGAGTGATGGTGGAGACGACGAAAAAGAGAGCGAGGAGGGAGATAGTGGAGATAAGAAAGCAAGACTGAGGAGGGAGATGGTGGAGATGAGGAAAGAGAGAGCGAGGCTGATGAAGAAAATGAGAGGAGAACAAAGAGCAGAAATGACAAGGGCAAAAACCACCAGATTGAAGCTGTGTTGGCCTTGCATAAGAAATCAAACGGGAATTTACGATAGCGAAGAGAGGGAAATATATTGAAGGAAAGGACTAGGGACGAACCCGGTGTAAAGGGAAAGGGTATTTCAAGCTGGCCAAAAAAATGGTTGAGGCGAAGAAAGTGAAAAATATATATTTTTCAATTTGATATGCATTTTTTAGATGATACCTGAATATGTAATTTGAAAAGTGACTAATGCAAGTTGCAAAAGCTATGAACGTTTTTTCGAGATAGATGTTGAGTAGTGATTTTGAAACAGATGTTAAGTAGTGAGTTTCAAAGAGTGAAATATCCATTCTTTTTGTACAATTGAAGCTACTCTATCATAGCAGTCAGCTAATGAAATGTCCCTTCTTTTTGTTATCACTATGTTAATAGAAACAAAATATAATAACAATATCCTTTTTGTTCATTCTTTTTTACTTTTATATTTGAATGAACTCATTTCTTTATCAATGTAGTTCTGCTTTGAAACTTAGTCAGGCATAGGCCATGACTTTGGAAAGATTGATATGATATGGTCAATGTGTAGGAGAGTGATATGGCTAACAAAATTGTTGATGGATTCACTCTTTTGGGAATGTGACAAAAAACTTCTAAACCATTTGTGCACTCTCTCCTTTTATACCATACTATTGGGATTTATTTGAGGCTAATCCATTGGGAATTAGTCATTGCATAAGCAATTACATGTTCATATAATATTCATCAAAGAGCGGTTCGACACATATATAGAGAGGTTCGACACTTAACAGTCTGGCACTTTACTAAGAGCGGTCTAACAATTTGCTTCCTAAAAAAAGGGGCAATTCGGCACTTGACTACCCACGGTCCGACAAATCCTTCACTGGAATCAGGGGGTTCCGGCACTTCACAGGAGCAGTCTCATAGAATTATCTCTGGCAGAAGGGCGGCAGTTCGGCAATCCAAAGGCATAGTCTGGCATTAACGTCGAACAATCCGGCACTTCATAGTTGCAGTCTGACGATATCATACTGAAGTATAGCGGTCTGGCATTTTAAAGCTTTGGTCCAACACTCTGTTAAATCAATCTGACACTTACAGAGGGGTGGTCTGCCAGATATCTTTCTGCCAGAAGGGCAGTCCGGCATTTCAAAGGTGCGGTTCGGCACTTGTTTGAAGCAATCCGACACTTCACATGGGTAGTCCCATAGGTTTCTTACTGGAGTATGATTGTCCTGTGTTTTAAAGCTTCAGTTCGGTGGTCGGTCCGGCGTTTTATGGTCGCAATCCAACATTTGAGTTATTGGAGTAGGGGCAGTCCGGCGATTTCAAGTAGTGTTCCACCGATTAGGTTATTGGAGTAGGGGCAATCTAGCTTTTAACACGTGCAGCTCACCCTTTGTGTCTGGAATACTGTGCTGTCCGAAATTTTTAATCCACGGTCAGGCATAACGCTGTCTAGAAGAAGCAGTCAGGTAGTGCAGAATTGCGGTTCAACAGAATTGATATGTCTGGCAATTTACAACCATGGTTTGACGAAAGTAGTAATGGGGTTAGTCATAATTGGCAAAATGATTTTTTATGTACGAGAAGGGTACAAGAAGGGGTATTTTTGTCAACAAAAATTATAACTTTTTAAATTGGGGGGTATTAGCTAAAAAAGTTGGTTTTGGGGAAAATTATATTAGGAAAAGTTAGGTTGGGGGTAAAGTTCCTAGAAAGTCCATATTTGGGGGTTGTAAGCAATTTTCCCTTCT